TCCCCGACCTCTCAAAGGTGTCCTCACCTGTTAAGGGAAAATCGGTAGGAAAACAGCCCCAGCTGGGGCTCCATGCACAGGGCTCTTCAGGGGAGGGCGGGGAGGTCGGCCTTTTAAAAATCGTGCCGGTATTATAAGTAGCAGAAAGCGGAAAGTGAAAAGGACTTTGAAATGAAAGATGCCAGAAGTGGGCACAGGGCAGCATGGGGGAGACCCAGATGTGGGGCTCACTCCCAAGGTGGCCCCAGGCCCTGCACAGCCTCCCTGAGGGGGGGGCGCCTGTGAGTATGATGATGTCACCCAGGATGAGTTATGAACCAGCCAACTTTGAGTTGATCCAAAGGGCGATGACGCAGGTGGGCCAGGCCTAATCAGGCGAGCCCTTCAAAGAGGAGGGAGACGTGGCCTCCAGAAGCTAACGGCCAGGTTGTGAAGGGGCCGTGTGGCAGGGCATGGCAGAGCTGAGGACGGCGGCCCTTGGTCAACAGCCAGCAAGAAAGCGGGGACCTACATTCTACAGCTTCAGGGGACTGAATTCTGCCAACAGCCAGAGGCTGGAAGGGATCCGCCAGCCTCAGACAAGATGGCCATCCTGGCCGACCCTTTGAGGGCAGCCTGGTGAGACCCTGAGAGGGACCCAGGGGACACATGCAGGTCTCCTGACCCACACGGCTGTGAGATAATAAATGGGTGTTGTTTTAAGCCACTAAGCATGTGGTGATGTGTTATGTGGCAATAGATAACGAATACACCAGGAGAGGAGGAGTCAGGCAAAGACCTCGGGCAGAGGAAGGCCAGGGCTCCGCCGGCCCTCGGGCCACTGGGATGGGGGGGGGCGCTCAAGCCTGCAGGGCACAAGGCTGGGCCCCAGAGGAGCTGTCCAGTAGGAGGTGGTGTCAGGTGGAGAGGCCCCCTCTTTCCAGCCCCTGTGCAAACACTGAAGGCAGAGGGTCCTGGGCAGAGGGGCTGCACCCCCACACCTTCTCCCACACAGCAGTGGGGACTGCGGGTTCCCCGGGGCCTGAGAACCAGCACGGTCCCCACACTGTGAGCCTGGGCACACGTTTCCAGCTGCGGAAGTGCAGCGCCCACTCCCTGCATGTGTCTCCCAGTCCTGACTGTCCAGAGGACGGGGATGCTGGAGCTGGACCCCGGGACTTAGCCTCCTCCTGCATTGGCTCCCAGCTGCTTCCCGAGGGGCCCCGTAGCCCTGGCAACGGGCACCTGGCACCTGCTGTTCTCATTCTCACTCAGTTACCACTTACCACTCCCTTAACACTCTTGGCGGGTCCAGCCACCCACAGGCAGGTGGCTCTGGGGCAGACGGGCTCAGTCTGTGGACACCAGACTCTTCCCCGCTGAGTCTGTTGAAGGAGGGGCTCAGTACTGGGGACCCTTGAGAAGACCAAAGAGCTAGCCCACTCCCCGACCCCAAGCTCCACCCCACCCTTCCTCGGGGCTGCAGACTCTCCTAGAGACGGGAGCGTCCTTCCCCTCCCCCGTCCACCTGTCCCCTTCTGGGGGCTGCCCAGTTTCCTGAAATTCCTACTCCAAGGCACATACACCCCAGCAGTGCCTCCTTTCTCCCAGGCCTGGGGAGAAATGCCCCCTCCACAGTCAGGAAGGCTGCCCGGGGGGCTGCTGGCATCTCTGAGCCCCAGCGTCTGTCCCGCTGTGCAGCTTGCTGTTGGCCCCTGGGGAGTGGGCCCCTGTTGGCTGCAGCCCCACCCCGGTGGCCCACCTGCCCACAACAGCTGTCACCAGAGAAAGGCACCAGGAGAGGCGGGAAGGGGCCCAGGGAGGGAGGAAACTCTTGAAGAACAGATAGGGGAGCAGGGAGCCCCAGTGACTGCAGGGGGACTAGGGAGGAGTGGGGGGCAGTCAGCCTTGCTGAGCACCTGCCGGCCCCCCTTTTCTCCATCTCCCCCTTCTGTGCATCATCAGAGCAGGGAGGAACCTGCCTGGTCAGCAGCACAGCCAAGGGAGGGGGCCCTAAGGCCCCCGGACCATGGAAGGCACTGCCCCAGGGACCATTGTCCCCCAGGTGAGTGCTGTGCCTGCCTAAGCCATGCCCTTTTGCTGGACAAGCCCCACGATTGGAGGCGGGGGGTGGCCGGAGCCCCTGCTCCAGGCCCCTGGATGCATCAGGCAGAGGCCCTTGGGCAGGGCAGACAGGCACTGGGGCTCTGAAGCCGGCTGCCCGCACTGCCCAGGCTGTGCTGAGCCTGTCTTGACATCTGGGCCCGTGGGGCCGTGTGGGGGTGAGGGGTGGGCTGCAGCAAGCTCATGGGGCAGTGCCTAGTCCCGACCAGTCAGCGACCAGATGGGGCCGGATGAGGTGTGGGGGCTGGTCGGTAAATGGTCCAAGGGAACCCACCGAAACCAAGCTCTGCACACGGGTATTTCATGCCCCTCTTTCACTACGAGGCGTGTTGCTACCTGACAGATTCGCTTTCTTGCTGTTTGCAGAGGTTGGTGGCCCCACCCTCGTTACCCGACGGCTGGTGAGAGGCTTGTCTCCCTCCCCGCCCAGACTCGCTCGGTACCAGGCATCTTGCTGGGGGTGACTGGGAGCACCTCCCGCCTCCAGGAACCTAGAGCTGGTCCCTTGAGCTCCCTGCACGCAGGACGCCCTCCTGGCGCTGGGTCTGTGGGGTCTCCCCAGACCCCTGCCCTCAAGGGGTGAGCCGGGCAGCTGGGTGGGGGTGGCTTCTGGATCTTGGGAGACAGACGTCTCAGGAGGCTGCATTCAGGGGTCCCCACTGCCTGGAGCCTGGTGGCAGCTCCTGTCCCACCACAGAGGGGACAAGGGAATGTTCGTGCCTGGCAATTAGCTTTTTGATGGTAACGTAAGTGGCTGACATTAAACTTGAGATTGCCGGGGCGTCCATCTCAGACATCCTTCTCCAATAAACACAATGCCCACTACACAACTGGACAGAGCGGGGACGGAGCCAGGACGGAGCCAGGACGGAGCCAGGCTGCCCCCCGCAACGGAGTTCCCCTTTCAGGGAGCCCTGGGCGACCTAGATAACTGACCACGTGAGTGAGCCTGCTTTCCCCATCCTGCTCTTATGTTTCAAGTAAACCAACAAAGAGAGACCCCTGAAGGCCTAGGCCCCCACCCTTGACCCCAGTGGCCCCCTCTGCCAGGCGAGCCGTGTCCCTGGAGGACCTGGGAGTGGTACACCTTCTTCTGAGCTCCCTGATGGCTGCATCCTGACATCACGATAAGATCCACCCGGGCTGGTCCAGCCGTAGCACCGGCTTCAAAAGGGGAAATGTCTGTGGGGTCTCGCTGCAGCCCTTAGCATCACTATGCATGACCTAAGACCAACCCCCCAAAAGAGGGGGCACTGATATCCAGGAAGGGGGCAGGAGGGGCAGGACGCTTGGCCCCTGGGGAGCAGCTGGCAGCTCGGAGAATGTCACTAAGAGGGAGGACACCACTTCCACTTTCTCATCCTGCTCTAGGACGACACTAACAACCCATCCCAGGCCCACCTTTTCCAGCATCTGCCTTAGTTTCCTCACCTGTAAAGTGGGACTATAGCAGGTGTTAGATTCAGGTGGGCTATTTCCACCCCGCTGATCTCCTAGCAGAGGCATGAGGCGAGGCCAGCAGTTAAATCCCTCAGTCTGAGGGTCCTCAGAGGAACAGACGTCACGGGGGCTCGCTGCCCACCCCATCCTGGGCCGTGACTGCCCGAGCAGCTGCCCCGTCCTAGCGCCATGGGGGCCAGCGGGTCCCGCACCGGCCTGGCATTGAGATGGACACAGACGGAGGACAGGGCACCCTCTTGCCTCCTCCTTCACCCCCCTTCACCCTGACTTGTTCACAGCCCCCACTATTTACCAGATGCCCAAGGCGCCCCAGATGGGTGTATGTTGGGGTGTGTTGGGGTGAGGAGCCCCAGCTTCTGGAAGAGGGGGCTTTCGGGAGGGGGCCAGGCTCAGTGCCCTCCTGGCCTCCAGAGTTCCTAGCCCTGCCTCTGTCCTGTGTCCCGGCCCTGGCCTGGCACTGGTGCCCTAGAGACAAACACGCTCAACCATAGGGAAGCCGGCAGCCGGCACAGCCGCATCCAGGGTGCACCTGGGGGGACACTGTTGCCCTCACACACTTAGCAAAGTCCCTTCGACAAGTCCCCACCTGAGGGAGCCCTGGTGAGCGAGCATTATGGACAGGACCAAGCAGCCCTGGGGCCCGGCGGGGCTGTGCCAAGGCCACCTCAGAGGGGTGCTAGGGACACCAGGTATCGCTGGCCCTCCTTCAGGGCCAGGCGTCCGCCTTGTTGTGTCCCACCTGCCTGCCACCCACGTCCTGGCTTTGGGTGGCCCGAGAGAGAGGCAGGAATGCAGCTACGCCCGGTTACCACTGCCCTGCCTTCTTGCCAAGAAAAATGCCCGGCATGGCAGGACCCGAATCACAGTGGGGCGTGGGGCCTCTATTGCCCCTGCAGCCCCCACCCATTCCCCTTCCTCAATCTTCCTTCGGGGCCCTCTTCCCCATAACTCCACCCCTGTGGTCGGAGGAGCCCAAGTCATTCCATGCCATCCTGACCCTGTTCCAGGGGACCCAGGCCGATCCCAGAACAGGGAAGGCTCAGAGACGGGCACGTGACCACATTCAGACCAATGAGAGCTGGCCTGTGGCCCTACAGGCCAAGGGGTCCTTCCCATGGGGAGAGGGTTGCTGTCGGAGCCCGGTACCCTTCACCACGAGACGAGAGGCTGCCTAAGAACAAAGCCCCCATGGGAAGGCCGGGCCAGGGCCAGGCAGCTGTTAAACTCCTGGGTCCAGCCATGCCTGAATCCACTCCCACCCCTGGAATGACCGCTGTGTAAGCTGGTGCAGTTTCTGTTTTGCAATTGAAATGTCCTGACAAAGCCACAGGAAGCTGCACACGAAGAGCCTGCTCTCTGGTTTCACGGGCTACCGGGACAGAAAGTCCGATCTACTGCCCCACCCCGAGCCCTCCGCAGAGGGCAGCCCCACTCACCATGACAGAAGGGGTGTCCATGCCCTGCAGGTGGAAGACACCCATGCCGGCCTCCATGCCGCCCACCTCCTCACTGCTCCCCTGGCTCGACTGGGGAAGGTCAAAGTAGGTGCTGTCCGGCTCCCTGGGAAGAGGGCACAGAGTCATTAGCCCCAGACCCCCCAGGCCCGGGGTTCAAACAGCCCGCAGCCTACCTCCCCCGCCTCCTCCCTTCCTCTGTCAGCCTCGCCAGCGCTGCTGTGTGTGCCAGAGAGGCATGGCCACACGTGGCCTCTGTCCCCTGGACCTCTCCTGGCCCCCACCCAACTTGTTCGCCTCGCCCTGCCCCGAGCCAGTCTGAGGCCAGCCCGGGGGCCACTCAGAGGAAATACTTACAGAGAACTCCAGAGACGCTCGAACGTGGTCCCCTCGTCGGTGGCCGTGGAGATGCACTGGGACATCTTCCCCGCACCCCTCTCCGAGGGCAGCTTGCTCTGTGGGGAGGGAGAATGACAGTGAGCACTTTGGGACGGCGTCCTCCATGCTCCTCTTCCAGCACCCTGGGAGGGAAGGGGTGATCGGGCAGGGCCAACGGTGACACGCGAGGACACTGCTTGAGCAGTGGCCAGGTGGGCGCTCATCCTCCACCCACCGCCCCCCCCCATTTCATCCTGCCCATTCCCAGGGCAGGAAACTGAGTCGAGACCCAGGTAGGCAGGCAGGAGCTTGGCCTTGCAGATGGGCAGGCCTGGCTTCAGACCCGGCCAGTGTGCCCTGAAGCCACCACCTGTGAGGTGGGGGTGACAGCAGCACCGCCCGTGTGGGACTGCTGTGGGCCTTTGTAGCAAGGATTTAAAGTGTTCCCGCTGTGCCTGGGCGCAGTGAGCTCTCTAAGATATGCGGTCATTATCATAACGGACTGTGTGTCTAGGTTTAGCTCAGAGTCTTGAGCCAGGCTTGGGGGCTCCCGATGTGCCAAGACGTGAGGACAGCTCAGATCACAAGTCACTCCCTGTAGGGACGGCAAGTGCAGGGCACCCAGAGGCTGGAGCAGAGGCCTTGCCGTGCGTGGCCCCTGCAGACGACCTTTCTGAGGCGGAGTCTATTCTGCGACCTGACATGAATGACTGCTGGCCCCGTGAGGAAGCCACCAAGGCCAAGGCCGCGAAGCTGCTCTGTCACTGGAGTGGTGCCACATCACCACGGTCCCCCCTTCATGGGAGATGCCCAGGGGTTGGGGTGCCCCGCCCAGGGGCCCTGCAGGCCTTTGTCCCTGCCATTGCGTCTCCTGAGAGCCTCCACGCCCAGGTCCCACCTTGAAGTGGCCCCTGCCACACAGAAGGAGGTAGCAGTGACCAGGCTGGACTCAGCTGGGGCCCCTAGTCCCACGGTGGGAGGGAGGGGCAGGAAACCACTGTCCCCACTCAGGCCAAGGCGAAGTCTCCTCTAGGCGGGCCTCTGGGTCCTTGGCGGGGGGCCACGGGAATCAGCCCAGCCACAGCCTGGCAATGCCCAAGCAGGCAGGCCTGGACCTGCCCATGGTCATCAGGGAGCAGAGGGTGTGCCTACAATCTGTCACTTAGTCCCCAGGCGGGCGGGCAGTGTTGGAGGCCTGTGGCCTGCCCCAGGGCCACCACAGTCCCTGGAGCCGTGGCATGAGTCCCGAGTGCCACCGTAGGCTCAGAGAGGTTATGTGGCCTGCTGAGGTCACACAGCATAACTGTAAGTGCAGGAATGACTGAGTGGTTTTCTCAGAATTAGGAATTAACTTCGTCGTGTCTACCCCAAGCCTTCAGCACGTGATCCATGAGGGTTTTGATGCACTTGCATGCTGCCTCCTGTGCTGGGAGGCCACTGCCAGCGGAGCTGAGTGTCAGGCATGGAGTGGGCCACCAGGTAACTTACAATGGGGTGGACTTGGGAGGAAGTGGGCCAGCTGCTGAGCTGAGGCTGGGCAAACCCGCCCTCACCCACTCCCCGGGCCGGCCTTCGAGGACGAGCAGGAACTAGGGCGGCCTCTCGGTGTGGGCAGGGTGACATGACACCTGACTAGCCCGGGCCATTTGGTCTACCTCCTTCATTTTGCTGATGGACCATCTAAGCCCAGAGATGGAAAAAACTTGACTAACGTCACACAGCGAGTGGACGGAGGGATCCCATCTCTTATTTGTAGTAATCAGAAACAGCCGACAGATGGGTAAACAATCTGCTATAAAAAGAAGGGTGCCCTGGCACACACTACAACATGGATGGACCTCAAAATACTACGCTCAGTGAGAGAAGCCAGACGCCAAGGACCACGTGTCCCAGGGCTCCATCTATGAAGAGTCTGGAACGGGCGAAGCCACAGAGGAGGGCAGACTGGTGCTGCTGGGGGCTAGGGGAGGGGAGGGAGAGTGACTGCTAGTGGGCGCGGGTCTCCCTTGGGGTGGTGAGAATGTTCTGGAACTGGGTAGAAGTGCTAGCTTCACAACATTGTGAGTGTGCTGAACGTCACTGAATGGGTCACCTGAAAGTTGTGGGAGTCAGACAGAGACAGAGACAGAGAGACACACACACAGAAATGGGGACAGAGACACAGAAAGAACAGCATCACCTGTCCACCGCCCTCTGGGCGCTGGCCCGGGGCTGGCTCTGTGGACGCTCAGCACTGGGACTCAGTGACGGGACAGGGGGCCCTCTGTGCAAAGCCCCACTCTGACCAGGTGACATTGCTTTTCACTCTCCTTTGTGTTCGTATGTTACACCCTTTCTTCCCACTGACCCTGGAATTAAGAAAGGTGTCCTTTCGGGCCGGCCGAGTGGCGCGATGGTTGAGAACTCGCTTGGGATGCCAGAGGGCCCCGGTTCAGATCCACATATGAGGGCCAGTGACACTGCCCTCCAGAGCTAAGATGCTGAACGACAGCTCAACCTGGAGCTGGGCTGCCGTGAGTCGCCGGCGACGGCATAGGCTGCAGCCCCTGTGGCAATGGGTTGCCATGGGCAACCGTATGTAGCCAGCAGCCAGCGTGAGCGGCCAGCAGCCGCAGTGAGCGGCCGTCCAGAAGCC